CCCCAAAACCCCAAAACCCCAAAACCCCATTATGACATTTTATACCATTTTATCAGAAATAAAATCATAAATAAATTAGTGAATTTCTCTTGATTTAATTCAATTATATGGTTCCTCCTTTTCTTCCTCTAAATTTCTGCCTCTCATATACACTTCTAATTCAATTTATGGATCTTGAAGTTAAGTAACCTTCTAAAAAAATTACTGCTTTTCTTAAAGATCTTCAAGCTCCTCATCAGTTAACTATTATTATCTGACTTAAATAATCTAGTTTTCAATACTTTCAGTAAGATTTCGTTGCATTGTCCTTTGCTAATTAATAAGATTCATCATATCCTTACTCATAAATCTCTCTATTTTCAATAATTATTTGTTGAAACTATTATAAGCCTACAGATGATTATACAAAAGATCTTCTAGTTGATGTATCACTAACTTAAAATTATTATTTTTCATTAAATATTCTTGATCTTAAATATCATGCAAAGCAGCAAGAATATCTTAAATTTCAGGTCTATCTTTAGCCTCATAACTAAGCATTCTATTTAAAATATTTTCAAAAGCCTTATACTCTTAATCTAGGGGAATAGATCTATCCTTATTTTAGGTTTTAATTTGAGATATTGGTTTGCGAATACCTCCTTTTTATAATTCAATTTCTGCATATCCAGTACAAAGATAATAAATCAAAATGCCAAGAGACCAAGTATCACAGTTTTTATCTGAGTCTTTACCCTCTACTATTTCAGGAGCCATGTAAGCACTTTTACCAACCTTCTCTTCTGATATTTGGCCAATAATAGCAAGTCCAAAATCAGATAGTTTATATTTACTCTCATTAAAAACCAAAATGTTTTCAGGTGAAATATCTCAATGGACTATTCCTTTATCATGAACAAAGTCTAAGGCCTGGCAAACCTAAAGCATAATATCGCATATGTCTTTGCATCTCAATTACCCCATATCTTTTTTGTATTAGTATAAATCTTTCTAAGCTAATTCCATAACAATACACAGCTCGTTCTGCATTGTAAAATAAGTTTCTTGAATTTTTACGATATTAGGATGACTTAGTCCAAATGTGCTTATCTCTCTCAAAACTCGCTGTACTTCTGCATAAAAAGGATTTGCTGGACTTATTTGCTCTTTAATATTCTAAACTTTTATTGCATATTCCCTTCCTTCTTCATTATTTTACACTCCACTAGAATCTATTCTTTTTGCTTTGAATACTCTTCCAAAGCGACCACTTCCAATTTTCTCCAAGATTCTATAATTCTCATGAGCATCAATAGTTATTTTGATTGTAAAAGGTAGTTTATCGTATTCCATATTATTTCTATTTTTTAAGATATATTATATTTTGATTAATATTGAAATTTTTACATTATTAAGATTTTTCCTGTATATAAGATGAAGGGGTTTTGGGGTTTTGGGGTTTTGGGG